GGCCACACCCGGGCCACACCCCGGCCACACCCCGGCCACACCCTGGCCACACCCTGGCCACACCCAGGCCACACCCCGGCACAGCCGCTGTCCCCGCGCTCCCTCAGCGCTGTCCCCGCTGTCCCCAGTGGCCGAGGCGGTGGCACGGCGCCTGCGGGGCGGGGTCCTGGAGCGCGAGGGCACCTCGGTGGCCGTGCTGCAGAGCGACACCCGCGACCACTACAGAACCTTCCAGATGCTGGAGAGGCTCCTGCACGCGCCGCCGCGGCTGCTGCAGCAGCTCCTGTTCCAGATCCCCCCGGAGCGGCAGGCCCTGCTCGTGCAGCGGTACTGGGGGCACTGGTGGGGAACTGGGAGCACTGGGAAGGGAATGGGAGCACTGGGGGAGGAGCTGCGGGTGGGCTGGCACAGTTCGAGAATTTGGGGCTTGCTGTGGGGTTTTTGGGTCCCCCCTGGTTTGGCCCCCCCCCCCCGCGCAGTTTCTTGGGTTTCCCTCTTGTTTCAGTTTCCCCCCCAATTTGGGTTTTTTCCCCCAATTTCCTCACAATTTTGGGGCTTCCCCAGGTACTACGCCTTCGATGAGGTCCTGGCCCGGGAGCTCCTGGGCAAGAAACTCTCCAAGGGCACCAAGAAGGAGCTGGACGAGGTCAGCGCCCGCACCGGGGTCGGGATCCGCAGCTGCCGCCGCCAGGTGGGATCCCAGAAATGGGGCGCCCTGAAAACGGGGGGAGGAAATCCCAAAAATGGGAGGGAAGGGAAATGGGGGAGAAAAACCAAAAACAAAGGGAAAATGCCAAAAATGGGAGCAAGGGAAATAGGGGATAAATCCCAAAATGGGGAGGGAAAATCCCAAGAATGAGGGGCCTTTGCTGGTGAGGGGGACGTGGCCTGTCCCTACTGGGGAGCCTGGGGGCCCTTCAAAGGGGTTTTGAGGTTCGGGGAGGGGTTCTGATGTTCGGGGGGTCCTGAGGGGCTTTGGGGGCACTGATCCCCTCCTACTCCCCCAGTTTGACAACTTCAAGAGGGTCTTCAAGGCCGTGGAGGAGCTGCGGGGTCCCCTGGCCGAGAACATCCAGCAGCTCTTCCTGCTGCCCCCGCCCCTCGCCCGGTGGGTCTGGGGGGGTTCGCAGGGGCTTTGGGGGATCCAGAGGGTGCTGGGGGTGGGGGTTGGGTCCTGGGGGGTGCTGGGATCGCCCAGAGTGCTGCTTGGGGGTCCAGGTGGGGTCCGAAGGGGCTTTCAGGGTGCAGCAAATGCCCCCGTTGCCGGGCAGGTTTTGGGGTGCCAGGGGGGGTCAGGGAGGGTTTTGGGGGTGCTGGGGGGGCCTCGGGGGGTTCTGTCGGTTCTGGGGGCACTGGGGCCCCCCTGATCCCCCCGTTCCGCCCCCATCAGGGACTACGCCGCCATCGTGTTCTTCGCCAACAGCCGCTTCGAGACGGGCAAGCGGCGCCTGCAGTTCCTGAGCTTCGGGGACTTCGCCGCCTGCGCCCAGAGCATGATGGGCCACTGGAGCCAGGGCGCCCTGGGTGAGCCCGGCCACCCCAAAGCCACCCAGGGGACGGGACACTGGGGTCACTTCCTGCCATAGGGGACACGCAGGTGACACCCCCTGAGGAGGAGGGACACAGGGAGCCCTGGGTGCGGGTTCGCCTTGGGGACATCGGAGACACTCAGGAGTCTCTCCAGTAACATCGAGGACCCTGTGGCCGTGTCTCTCTCAGTGTCCTCATGACCTTGGGGACCCCAGTGGTGTCCCTTGTTGGGGACACTGGTGACCCCTGATGTCTCCGTGAGCCCAAGGTGTCCCCAACAGCCCCAGTCTCCCTGTGACTACGAGACCCCCCCAGTGTCCCCCATGGCCCCCCGGGTCCCCCTGTGACCCCAGCGTCCCCCCTGTCCCCTGTGCCAGCACCTGAGGCGGCCGAGCCGGACGGGGACCTGCCCAAGTCCTTCCTGCAGGACCTGAAGGAGCTGAAGGTGCTGGTGACCGACAAGGACCTGCTGGACCAGCACAAGAGGTGACAGGGACACCCTGGCATTGGGGACACCTCTGAGCAGCTGTCCCTTGAGATGGGGACACACCCAAAATGGACCCCCCAAACCCCCTGGGGCACCCCAAAATTGGGCTCATGGCAAGCAGAGCACCACAAAAGCAATAGGGCTCCCGAGAACCCAGACCCCAAGATGCCCCCAAAACCAAGGGGGTCCCCCAAACGTCCGGGTCTTGCCAAATTCCTGGGACCTCCCCAAACTTCTCCCCAAACCCGTGGCTCCTCCCAGGCTTCTGTGCCGCCTTCCAAAATGCCCCAGACCCCCCAAAAACCCCAGTTCGCCCCCGATTTTGGGGTCCTCCAAACTCAGGRCCCCTCTTGGGGTGCGGGCGAGGGGCTGCCTTGGTCCTCGGTGGTGTTCTGGTTTTGGGGGGGACCCCCACAAACCTCTCTGTCCCCCCCAGCCTGGTGTGCTCGGCCCTGCGGGGGAAGATCTCGGTCTACAACGAGCTGGAGGCCAATTTCAAGGTGAACGCCCCAAAAAACGGGGGTCCTGATGGGAGAGGGATCTCCCAAATCCCTGGGGTCTGTTTGGAGGGGGAGGGCTCTCTCCCAAAATCGTGGGACACCCCCCAGCCCCCTTTCGAGGGGGGAGATTGAGTGAGTTGGGGGGGATCCCCAGCACTGGGGTCCCTCCTGGGGAGGGTGGGGATGGGGGAGGGTTCCCAAACTCCTGAGTCCCCCAAGGTCCAGGGTGCTCGAGGGCTTCCCAGCTTGGGGTTCCCCAAAATCCTGGGGCCCCCATGGGAGGGATCCAGGGGTAGGTCCCGGGTTTTTGGGATTCCCGTGGGAGGGTCCCAGGGTTGGGGGGGTCCCCAATACCTCCACTAACCCCCCCCAGGCGCTATCCCGGGCACTGGTGAACGTGGGGGGGAAGCTGACCCACGCTCGCGACGTTCGGGATTTCTTCGTGGACCTGGTGGAGAAGGTGAGGAGGGACCCCAAACAYGGGAAACTGAAAAATCCCTGGGATCCCTGAAATGGGACCCCTTAAACTGGGACATTCTATCCCCAAAATCTGGGTGTGTTTTGGGATCCCTGCAGGTCATTGAGCCCTGTCGCTCTGACAAGTGGAGCCTGGGGGAYCTGCGGCTCTTCCTGACCCATTACACGGCAGCACCCCGGAACCTGTCGGGCTTCAGGTGAGACCCCAAAACCGGCAACACTCCGAGTCCCCAGATCTTCTCCTGGCAGCCTTTTGGGGCACCCTAAAATTGGGGTGGGGGGAGCTTTGAAACACCAAAAAGGTGTTGGGTAGCTTCCCCTGAAGTTTGGGAGCTCCCCAAAATTTCCACCCCATCTTGCAGGCACCAGGCTCTGTGGGAGCGCTACATGGCCGCCATCACCGCCTGCCTGCTGCGCATGTACCACGACTGAACCCCAAAACTGGGCACCCCAGAAAATAGGGCAGCCCTGAAAATGGTGGACTCCGAACTGGGCACCCCGAGGATGTGACACCCCTGGGAAATCAAAGGATCTGGGAGCTGTGGTGCCCCCTTGAAATGGGGAGGGATGCCCTGAATATGGGGCATCCTCAAAATATGAGACCCCTCCCAAAAGGGAGGGGGGGTCCCAAAAGCCCAACAGCCCATGGATGGAGGATCAACATCCCAAAATTCAGATATTTGGAGTCCAAGGGATCCCCCAGAAATGGGGACCACATGCACCAGGAAACCCCAAACCCAGAGGATCCAGGAGTGGCAACATCTCCAAAAATGGGACATTTGGAATGGGGGAGACCCCAAAAAAGGGGTAACCCCCAAAACCAGGAACCCCCAACCTAACCACTTGGAGAGTCTCCAAAATCAGGGATGTCTGGCAGCCAGGAACCTCAAAAAGGGGGAAAAAACCCTGGGGGTGTCCCTACCATGTGACCCCAAAACAGGGGGGTCTAATAAATAGATGCGAATGGAGCTGAGTTTTGGATGTTTGTGGGGAAGGGGTTGGGGGATCCTGTAATTTTGGGGGAGGGGCTGGGTAATGGGGGGAGGAGCAGAATTAGGGGACCCCAAAACTCAGGGAGAGGTTGGAGGTGGTCCCAAGGCTCTTAAAGAGGACGGGGGGGTCCCCTAAAGCTCCAAGGCAGGGTTGTGGGGGTCCCCAAAATGTGACAAGAAGGAGGAGGAGGTCGAGAAGCCCCCGGTGCTCGAGGGGGGCGGGGAAATGAGGGGGAGGGGTGGGGAACGGGCCCTCCCGTGCTCCGGGGCCGATTTTGGGTGGGGAGGAGCTTTTGAGCTCGCGGGGCGGAGCCAGAGCCGCGAAGGGTGAGTGAGGCCACGGG